TACTATATTCTTACTAATACAGTAGAGAATAAGAATACTCTTAGCTTATATACTAGTCTCTACTAGGCCTAGTTCTTAGTACTAGTTCAGATATTAACTAGTAAGATTACCCTAGGTGCCTACCTAGGTACTATTAGAGCTACTAAATTAACTATATATCTCTATAGATAGAGGTCTTAATTAGTTAAATATATTCTTATTAAGTATCTAAGATATAACTTCCTTAGGTAGAGTATTCTCTAGACTAAGAGAAAGCTTACTAACTTCTAGTATATCTTTAATAAGAAGTTAGTATAGTAAGTAATCTGCTTTATACTATATATCTAACTACTAGGCTAGTTCCATAGTCTAACTAATACTATTCTAAATACTATAATTACTAATTTATCTACCCTAGCTATCTTAATTAATAGACTAAGATAATAAGAAGTCTATTAGTAAATCTAATTTCTTCAGCTAGCTAGCTTTTATTTATTATATTAAGACTATAAGATCCAGGGGTCTTTAGACTAATTAGTAAAGAAATACTAAGAAAGAACCTAAATACTAAATTATATAGTAAACTGGTGACTGTAACAGTTGCTAGTAGAAGAAAGAACCCCCTATAAAATTAATATAGAGATAAAGTATACCCAGTGGCTGTTAATACTACTAGTTCACTATATAGAGAAGGAATCTACGTGGGACTATAAAGACTACATAAGAGTTGAAATTTTGAAGGAAAAGAGAAGCCAACTGGCCAACTGGACTGGCTAACTGGCCAACTGGCTGAATATTCTATTTGTATATAATTTTAACACCCCTACGGCCAGCCCGGCCGCAGGACAGGGACCTGCCGCCACTCAGCCTATAGGGCTGACATATGCGTGTATGAATCAATCAATCAATCAATCAATCAATATTATTTTACTTTAAATCGAGACTCTTAATTTATATTAGTATTTTAGAAAGATCTATTCCTTGAGATAAAGATAAAATAGTACTATTCTACTATCAACTATTCTTAGATAAATATTTAAAGTAAATAGATTATTTAAGTTATTAAAACTATACTTTAATATAAAGTTATATAGACTAGATACTATATTAGCTAATAGTCTATATTCATTTCTTCTATTAACTTATAGAGTAATCTATTTATATTATTATCTATAAATAAAATACTCTATAAGTCAATATTTAATATTATTCTTTACTAATTATAGCACTTAGTAAAGTTAGTTCTAAGAATAATTAGATATTCTATAATACTAATCTTAGAATCTTAATACTCTACTAATATCTATAATACTTATAAGACTCAGACTACTAATAATAATATTAATATCTAGGACTTTTTCTATTATTTCAATTTAAAAGAAGTACTATAATTTATATTCATTAGAATAAAAAAGTACTATAATACTTAATATAAGTTCTTATCTTTTAATATTACTAATAAGATATATCTATAACGTAATCCACAAGCGAGCTGGCTGCACAAGCAAGCCGGCTTCCGCGCCCAGCAAAATATACTTCCATAAAAAGATGAAGCTATTATAGTCCTCTATATCAACAAATAATATATTTAATTCATATTTTAATATATTAGATATCTTGTTCTTTTATATCTAACTATATTATACTCACTATAGTAAGATAGTATCTAGTAGTAAGATTGTTTCTTATCTATAACTAATTCTATAGACTAACTTCTACTAGTCTAATTAGTCTTATTAGTCTAATTAAATATATTTCTTATCTCTTTAATAGTAAGACTATTAAGTCTTAACTATTTAATAATAAGATCTCTTCTTCTTATTATTCTATTTGTCTAATCTAGTCTATAGATTATTAACTTTCTACTTAAGTAAAGTAGTTTAGTTAAAGATAATTTTATATCTCTTAATAATATAAGATAATACTATTTTTATCTATAATAATAAACTAATTATATATTTATAGAGAAGTCTTTTAATTATATTTTTATATCTCTTTAATTATCTTGTATTCTTAGGTGTTTTTAGTACTATTAATATAGTAGAGATACTATTAGTTAGAATAGACTTATAAAGCTATATAATCAGCTTACTAAGAATCTTATCTAACTAAAATAGAACTAATTCTAAAGCTCTAAAGATATTATATATAGTTAATTCTTTAAAGATAAGAGAATATACTTCTAGATATATATCTAAGAAATTAATCTTATCTATATAATAAATATTCTAGTCGATCAGCTATTCTACTAAGCTATTATATACTTATTTTAATAGTATAAAGTAAGTAATATTAAGTAGTTAATAAAGATATAAAGAATATAAAGATATATAAATAGAAATAATATTATTTTAGCTATATATATTATTAAATTCTAGAGTTAAATAAGAGTTATACTTATTAAGAATTAAAAGACTATACTATCTAATTTACTAATTCTTTATAAAAGAAATAAAGTATTCTTAAAGCTAATATAAACTAATCTTATTAAAAATCTAACTATTTAGTAATAAGTTAATATACTAGTTAGCTAGAATAAGACCTTAAAATTATATCTTAATATAGACTTTATTCTTAAATATTAAGTATAGTCTTAATACTATACTAGTAGTACTAATATACTTAATTAATATTATCTATTCTTAATTCTCTAGCTAAATAAGAGATAACTTATCTATATAATCAGATCTTATAATTATATAGACTATAGCTACTATTTCTATTATAAAGCTAGTTTTATTAAAATTCTAGATATCTTTATTAAGAATACTATATTTCTTCTTTATAACTTTAAACTAGTTAAACTACTTACTTAAGAGCTTAGAATCTTTATATTTAATATATTAGATATTATATCTTTAAGAGAAATAACTTTTTAAAGCTAATTATACTTAATAAAGTTAGTTATCTAATTCTTATCTACTAAGACTATAGAATCTGAGTTATATTTTTAAAGAAGAATAGTAGCTATATTCTTAATATATAATAGCCAAGAATAAAGTCTATATTTAATAAGTAAAAGTATCTAGTCTTTAAGACTTCTTCTTTAAGAATAGTTAATTTTATAGAGTTAATATATATTTTAAGATATAATTTAACTCTATTAAGCTATTATTATAGAGTTAAATATAGAATATAAAAAATCCTTATAGCTTTATTTATAAGTAGAATTTTATTAGTTTAAATAGTCTTAACTATAAGATAGATATAGTCTTCTTATTCTACTAAATAATTTGGTGATTAAGGTATATTTAGTAGTATTGTTGGTGACTGAATTGCTCTAAGTTAAAGAACATGAAAATAATGCGCGTGGAAGCCGGCTCGCTTGTGCGGCCAGCTCGCTTGTGGATTACGTTATCTATATTAAGACTATACTATATTCTCTACCTATATTAAAAATACTAAGAAGTTCATATCATATTTTATTAATTCTTTTAAGATTCTTAAAGTAGTTAAATATTATATATATTAATTAAAGCCACTATTATTCTGAACTATTGTAAGGGCTGGGAGCCCTAACAACTTCCCTTTTTCAGGGAAGAAAAGTATCACGTGGGCGTATCGGTAGGGCCAATAGGTCCATAGCCCCTAATTCAGGGAGGATTAGCGACTGTGGGTAATGCTGGCCGAACGGCTATTGTTTTGAATAAGTCCTATTGTTTATTCCTTACAACTATCCATCTAATAATTTCTATTATTTCAGAGTCTACTATGAATATTAATTTATTTAATTATATTCTTTCTAAACTATCTTATATAAAAGATAAAAGATTTTCTAATCAAACTAATTACTATAAAATTAAAATAATTATTTATGAGTATCTTATCTATAAAAATTAGTATTTAAAAATCTATTCTAGACTATCTAATCTATTAGTCTGACTATAGATCTAAAGATAGTTAATAGATATATATATTGAATATTACTACTAATAAAAAGATTAATAAATATAGAAGATATTAGTATTATTAATTATCTATTATATCTTAGATAGTTTTATATTTTATATTTCTATTTATATATATAATAAGAATATTGTTATAACTGACTGATATATATAATAGCTACTAGTACTATTAAGGATTCTATCCTATTATTCTACTTTGAACAGATCTTAGTTTATCCTGTTTTAGGATCCTGGAAAAAACAACAACTTCATCATAATGACATTATAAGCCACGTCTCCCTACCACGACTTTGACACCTGAGATGGGATGAACTAAGATCCCACTCCAAGGCAGAATATCACAGTAGAACTGACTTGTCATCTTCCACCATTACATAAATATATTAAAAGATATTATAGATAACTAATTCTATAGTAGTAAAAGATATCAGATTATTATAAAGTAAGATATACTACTACATATTATGATTTAGTAATAAAAAGACTTATAATAGTTCGTTATAATAAAGCTGTTATTGATGAGATGGAAGATGGAAGACAACCCCATTGAAAGGATGCCCGAAGGCAGAAAGAAACTAAAGGCAGAATGCCGGCAGGGTCGAAACCACCACACAGCGAGGACGCCTGCCTTAAGATATAGGTATCTCTAGTGGTTACGGCCATGCCGAATTCTGCTGTTAGTTTCCGACTTCGGGCATTCTTTCGACGGAGTCGACTTCCGTCTTCCGTCTCAGATCAACATCACCATCAAAATCATGAACCAAAAGGAATCTTCCCCGGACCACTACAAATATACCAGCTAGTCTATTCCAGTATATATAGAAGAGAAGAATATAATAATCAAAAATATGAAGAAGACAATAGAGTTAACATATATAGTACTTTTTGGTAATTCTAAATAGCTTTATAAAGCATCCAGCAAGGTAGCCAGCAAGGCCGCAGCAGACCACAGCGGTTCAGTGTCTGATTATGTTACAAGTGGCAGATAAGCACGGAGTACATATCCCCTAGCCCCTAGCTTATCGGACTAAAGCCTAGCTCAAGTAATCATACTCAGTAGTTAAGAAAGGCAACGAGGTAAATCTGCAACTTCCATCCTCGGAGACGCCACGGAAAAGTAACGGTATCCATCTAGGATACTTTGCTATGAACAACCTGATAATCTTAATAACTTAGTTAACAGACTTCCATGTTCTTGGTAACTAGCCGCTATTCCAAGTGAGAGAGGGGGAAATCCAATTGGCGCGGTTATACAGTATTTCCGGCCGCGGCGATTAGATTTGACTGAGTTTTAATCAGCAGTACTCTGTATCTTCGCCAAAAAAAAAAAAGGCGCGTCAAGACAGACATGACTCTATTCTGAAGGCTTTCAAACCATGTCGAAAACTAAGGACGACGATTTTGACTTGCCATCTGCGAAAAGGCAAAAGCGAGTGACTAGTCTGCAGAGCCAGCAACATGTTCAATCGCCGGGTTCGAAAATATTTTCACCATATCGGGTAAGACACAGACTGAGCTTAACATGCTTTCGCGAAACTCCCATTCCTCTTTCGAAAGACAATCACTGATAGCAGGTAGACACTAGGATTAGTAACGACCAAAATTCCGCTCACTTACGTTCGGTTGGGAAAGTCTACCTACCAGATCACTACGTCTGTAGGGCGCAGCCTACAGACTTACGACCTACGACGGGGACTTAGTCTGGTCTTTGTGAGTAGACCACAAACTCCTGACATCATAACTGCAACATTTGCCTGGCAAGATAGGGTTTTTGCGGCATGGGGAAACGTCCGACCTGGATCTCCGGGGGGAATATGGGTCTTTAAGCGTGGCGCAAAGGTTGCATCGCTGCAGCTGCCGTCAGAGCTCACTGAGCCCATCGACCGGCTGCTGGTCTTCGGATCGTGGGTAATTGGGATTAACAGCAGATGCATATCTGTGTGGAAAAATGCATCGTACCAGCACCACATAACCCTTTTCCCACAACACACCAAGGACCTTTCGACTGAGCAAGTTTATACCGGGCAAATTTGCAATATGCCGACGTACCTAAACAAAATTTTCGCTGGAAGGTGCGATGGAAAGGTTGATATTTGGAATGTCAAGTCAGGAAAATTGATCCACACGATATTACCAGCCTCCTCGTCTGCTGGAGCTGTAACTGCTCTGCAGGCAACCCCAGCCCTGTCTATGATTGCCATTGCATACAAGAGTGGTCAGGTCTCTGTATGTGACGTGCAGACAGGCCAAGTGGTCCTGTCATTACGAAGCAAGAGCTCGCGATTGCCGGTAATCACTTCTCTCACATTTCGAACGGATGGGCTAGGTGCGGGCGAAGATGGTCGAGCACCAGGCGTCATGGCATCTGCTTGCTTGGAGAGTGGAGACATCACATTGTGGGATTTGAACAATGGCGGCAGAATTTCCGGTGTTCTCCGCCAGGCACACGGGATCTCCGGTAACGATCCAAGCTCCGGCGTGAGTCATGTTCAGTTCTTGGAAGGTCAGCCTGTTTTAATCTCGTCTGGAGGCGATAATTCTCTGAAAACGTGGATCTTTGACCACAATCCATTTTCAAGTGTTCCTAGGCTTCTTCACTTCCGGAGTGGACATTCGGCCCCAATCACCGCTGTTGAATTCCTACCAGCTGCCTCTGATGGATCAGAGCTTGCGGGCAAGTGGTTGCTTAGCGCAAGCAAAGACCGAAGCTTCTGGAGCTTTAGTGCACGCAAGGATAGTCAGAATGCGGAAATCTCTCAGGGTGCTGTCGAGCACAAAACGAAGAAGAAAACAGCTTCGAACACGACAAGGGATTTTCCGACTGGCGTTTCTGAGCATGAGTTTAGGGCAGCAGAAATAACTTGTATTGCGTGCTCTCTCAATCGAGATGGTGGGATGGGCACGACGACGTCCGGTCCCATTTGGGCCAATCCAAAGATATCAAGGACAGATGAATCCAGCAAAACTGGTTGGGAAAGTATAGTAACCGGTCACCGCGGAGACAAATATGCACGAACATGGTTTTGGGGCAGAAAAAGAGCCGGGCGTTGGGCGTTAGAAACCGGTGATGGCAGTGAGGTCAAGGTAAGTCTAATCAGGCTCACATGCCCTAACATTATTGGTCTAATCAGTATACCAAGAGCGTTGCTATATCGAAGTGTGGAACATTCGCAGTGATTGGCTCCGCGGGGGGCAGCATAAACATGTTCAACCTGCAATCTGGAGCTCATCGGCAAAGTTTCCCGGTCCAAGATTTGAGCGGCAAATCCAAAGACAAGCTTGCGGCTTCCCATGTGCGCTCTGGCATGTCTCTGAAGCATTCTAAGGCGGTCACTGGCTTGGTAATCGACAGTCTGAACCGTTATGTTGTGAGTTGTGGCCTCGATGGGAAAGTCAAAGTATGTCAACATATGATTCCAGCGATCGTTCAGCGGCTCACCACATTAATCTCTGTGTACAGTTCTGGGATCTTGTTCTGGGTTCCTTGGTTGATGAGCTTGATTGGTATCCGATGACAGCGATCAACGGGCTCCGCTACAGTCGTACAAACGAGCTCGTTGCGCTTGGCTGTGACGATCTTTCCATTCGCATTGTCGACGTGGAAACTAGGAAAGTCATTCGGGAATTTTGGGGGTGTGTAGGCCAAATCAATGACTTCTCATTTTCAAATGATGGGCGCTGGATTATTGCTGCGTCAATGGACTCGACAATTCGAGTCTGGGACTTGCCAACAGGGCACCTTATTGATGTTTTCCACGTTTCTAGCACTTGTACCTCGGTCGCCATGTCATCTACGGGCGAATTTTTGGCAACTGCGCACGCAGATGGGTTAGGGATCACTCTCTGGTCTAACAGAAGCCTGTTTGTGCCTATTTCTACCCAGAGCGTGGACGATCGCAGAATCGGAAGTGTTGGTATCCCAGCATCTTCTATAGAGTTTGGATCGGGTGTGATCGATGCTGCATTTTGTGAAGAGAAAGAGCAAGTCGAAGGAGATGGCCCATTGCCTACCGTTGACCAGCTCAGTGGCAACATGGTAACACTAAGTGTCGTTCCCAAAAGCAAGTGGCAGACTTTCCTTCACCTGAATTTAATCAAGGTACGTCATACGGAGTTGCCCGTCAGAATACCTGGGAAATGTTCTCGTTTTATTCGTTGCCATGCTGATTGTGCAACAGGAGCGGAACAAACCGAAGGAGGCTCCAAAAGCCCCTGTGAAGGCACCTTTCTTTCTGCCGAGTCATTTTGAGTCGAGCACAGCGGCAACCGACACCACAAGAAAATCAGAAGTGACAGTCGCTGAACGCTCGAGGATTTCCAAGATACAGCGTAGTGGGGAAAGCGGTATCACAAGCTCTAAGTTTACCAACCTCCTGCAAGCTGGTCACGTCTCAAATGATTTCGATCCTTTCATTGAACATCTCAAGTCTCTGGCCCCAGCGAAAGCAGATCTTGAAATCAGGTCATTGGGTCCCCAAAGACAGGCTGGTCGCTCTGAACTATCAATCTTTGTGGTGGCGCTCACGTATCGTCTCAATCAGAGGAGAGACTTCGAGCTTGTGAATGCCTGGATGGCTGTTTTTCTGAGGGTCCACGCAGATTCTGTGGCTGATTGTTCCAAATCCGACGGCGATGATGGTGACGACAGTGACCCCTTGAGACGGGCTCTTCTTGTCTGGAGCCGAGCGCAACGGCGTGAGGCTCAGCGCTTGGCTGAGTTGGTAGGATACTGTCGGGGAGTGGTGGGTTTCATGAGGTCCACTCGTTGATATCGCCCACGTCTGGTCCTGGAATCCGCAAGCATGGAATATAAATTTTTATACGTGCTTCTACTACATTTCTTGTAATCTGCATTATCGTTCGCATTAATTGCGTGGACAAAATGGTGGAAAATAGAATCTCGGCGCCAAGTTCCGTATTGAGTCATTGCTGTGATAGAATCTCAAAAATATTGTAAGAGTTTTCCCGTCGCTTGCGTTTTATTGGCATTCGCTGGCGATGAGTGGCTCCTCGATCCTCAAATCTCTGGGATTGCGTGTTATCAGACATCATCTGCGGCTCCTCTATGTCTTCAGCTTCGTCATTGCTATTATTCCATAAAAACAATACAGATCGTTCAATAACGTTCTTAGCAGAGATACTCATTGCATACTCTGCCCTCATCTCGTGTGTTGATCTCGTCAAAACATGTAACGATGGGAGGTGAGCTAGAAAGGCACATATCTGTGTCGTCTCCTTGTCAGGAGTCTCTGATATTTCAATCAGTTGTTTAAGAATTCTCAAGGAATAAAGCACAGATTGCATCTGAGCCGAAGTGTGGACATCTTCCCAGTTCAACATATTGTCCATATAGCCACATGTTAAGAACTGCTCCAACTGGGCGGGCTTAAGATTTTGGATTCCTGTCTGCGTTCCAAGTATAGTGTAGAGTGCGAAAGTTCTCCAGTAGAGCGGGCAATCAATCTCCATGCCTGTCTTCAATCGGACCACGTCCAGCTGATTAAGCAAGGATTGCATTTCTGATCGTACCCATGGTCGGTTTTTAAGGGTGATCAGGTCGGCCGTTATTCTATCGCCTCGCCTGATGTGTTCAATAATAAAGTCGTGCCTTTTGTGTGGGGCTTGTGTTAGGTTGAAAAAGGAATAGCCCATGGCCCTGAAAAGACGTCCTTGCATCCAAGCACACTGCCTCTTGGGATCCTCGTTCAGCATCACGAGATACATGTTCAGGGACCGTTTGTGTAGATATGTCTCCCGTAATATATACTGAGAGACAACCTCTGACACCCTGGTATCGAGTGATTGAGGATACTGCTGTTCAACTTGATCAATGCGGATATTCGGCGAGATTAGGTACTCTCTCGTAAAGTGGGAAAAGTCAGAGGCTGGGTCGTTTGCCTTGTCAATCACCTTTGACCGCCGAATAAGCTCATTCAGGCCAGCTCGTGGTCTCAAATTCAGTTCGAATGCCAGTGGTAACAGTGTTGACAACCCCAGCTGCTTGGCAACGGTCATCGGACACAATCTCTGCGCTGTTGTCCGGCTTTCTGATTCTGTGCGCTCACAATTGATGGAATTGAGAAAGACAATAGACCCTGACGAGCCAATATCATAGAGAAGGAGGTCGGAATCACTCGTAAGAATCGAACAGCCAGTTTGCTTTGCCACATAAGCACAGTAGCAGTCCGCCTCCCCGGGGACCATTATGGTGATATCGGCCCAGGAAACGAATTCAAGACGATCAGCGACCATGCTCATCCATGAGGGCACCGGAACAGTCTGGAGAATCTTCTCCTTGGTCCAACGCTGTCGAAGATCTTCGTAAACTGTTGGGACTATGAACGGGTTCTCAGGCACCAGTGTGAAATTGGGGGGAAGACTCCTGCTTTGCAAAATATTCTCGAATGATTCAAATCTCACCTTTGCCGACATGGAAGATGCGAGCGAACAACCTAGCTGGCTAGTCCGAAATGACCCGAGTCTTCTTCTTGACTTTTCCAGACGAGCAAGGCGTGTCGTCTGTTTTGATGGAGGTAAAGCTCCATCGAAGCATATTTTTTCTCTAACATACAATCAGCTGGACAATTTCAACAGGACCCTGTCGCGCATGCTATACATCTTCACGCCTAGGAAGGCCAGATTTAGGAGGAAAGTCATGACCCCATGGCTCACTTCATCGCAGGTTGGCTGCACATCAGGATAGCGTAGCTCGGGATGAGACCATGATAGCAGGCGATGGTGAATATGGTAGACAAGGCTAGGCCCATCGATCACCACAGATTGCACGTTGGGCAAGCCTTGGGCTGGTCGGTTCTCATTTTGCAAAGAGACTCTCTCGAGGTAGGGATCTAGGTGATATTTAAGTCGTAGGATACCCATGTTCAGGGGCTGGAGTTGACAACATATAGATAAAAGTGGGTGATATTTCTTGTGTGAGAAGCAGAAATGGGCGATGATGATTGTCTTGATTAATTGATAGGGTTGCAGCATCCCCCTTTAGTTATATTAATCTTTTTTATAATATAGACAGAAAGACACTTAAATAAAACAATCTATTAATAAAATTAATAATAAATATATAAAATAGAGTAGTTGAAAAAATCATAGATTATAGAATTTTATCTAGTTCAAAAATTATTGATTTTCTTAATTGAAAATAAGAACAATAATAGATTTCCTGTGGTGTATATCATATATGTCATGATAATCCCCGTGACCATGTCAGCTTGCCGTCAGTTCACCCATGTATCCTTCATGCAATGTCATGACATCAATGACTTGAAATCTCTTCTATACTTAATCTAGAGCCTTGTGATTCCTTCCAAGGAGCAAGGATAAGTCTTAAGAATAGGGACTACTACTATTCTATACCTAACCGATCTACTTTATCCTTAACAATATATGACAATATTCTGCTGTCCCGTCTGTGGCCGCCTTCCTGACCGCCTCCAGCAGCAGAACTTTGGCTTCCCAATATTTTATACTTTCGTCTTCCTCAACCAATCAACTAATCTACTTATTCACAAAATCATCTATTCTATAATATATAGTGCTTTCTCCGGTTTATCTAGAATATAATATATATCTCTGTTACAGGATAGATAGATTATACTAATTAAAACATTCTTTAAGCAAGAAGAAATAGCTAAAACACTATTTCTTATATTTATATAGGATTGTGGTGGCTTCGGGGTTCGACCATGGTGAATTCCGGCCATGATGAATTCTGCCCTTAGTATCCGCCTTCGGGCATCCTTTCGACGGGGTCGACTTCCGTCTTCAACATCAACAACATCATGATCATCGGAATAAGAATGGAATTGTAAGGGCTAAATCAACCCTTCCAACCTTTGCGAGTAGTTGTGAAGGGAAATCTATATAGTAGGCCTCAGACACTAGTTATATAATAGCTAAGCAAGTGAGTCGCGATCTCCTATTTAGGGGGTGAGTAACTTGTAGATTAGATAGACTAGTAATAATATCTTAAGACAATCAACTGGCACCTTTAGTCTTGTAAGACTATTTATTTATTATACTATTTCATCTTCTTAGCTCTTATAATCTTATTACTTAATACTCTGTGAAATAGCTTAGTAAGTAATAGCTGGATATAGAATATAAAGCTAAACTAGGGGTAATCCCTCTAAACTACTTATAAAGAACTATATATTAATTATAGAAGATAAATCCTCTATAATTAAAAGAAAAGTATAAATCCTAATCTAGAAACTGTTATGGGACCAAGGCCCTGATATAGAGCTCAGCTTCAGGCACCAGTTGGTGCCTGAGGCCTCGCATACTATACACTAAACTAGCGCTAGCTTAGTTCGCATACACCTAAAAGAATTTCGCACAAACAGATAAAATAGCTCTTCAGCTATTTCTTCTTATTTAAAGGTATATTTTGATTAGTACAATCCATCCATCCTATAATATTAGAAATAGCTTATTAAAAGTCCTAGGCGGAGTCTAACTAGGTATATAATCAATATAAGAATATAGAAAAGAACTACTGGAATAATAGAATAAATAGATCTAGAAGAACTATAGCTGACTATAGTATCTATATCTACTCTTAATAATATACAGCTTCTCCTACAGGAGCTGATTAATCTCTGTATAGAAATAGTAAAATAGAAAATAGTCTTTAAAGAATAAATAAATAAATTACAGAGCTATAGTACAACTTCTACTATTAATAGTAAATAAGAAGGGAACTTCTTATTATAACTATATAAACTATATTTCAGGCCTCGCCCTTGGCACCCTAATATAGAACTGTTCAGCGGAGAAGATAAGTATAATTATAAACTATTTAAATTAAATATATATATAAAACTTATAATTAATAGAAACTATTATTCTACTAGACTAGAATAAGTCTTCTATATCTATAGTTAACTATATAGACAAGTAGTATAATAGATACTTTCTTAGATTAAATCCTAGAATACTAAAATAGTATAACTTAAAGATCTAATATTAGTAATAGATAAGATCTTTAAAGATTCTAATATATAATAAAAAGCTCTTAATAGAGTAAATACTATAAAATAAAAAAAAATAGAACTAAAAGAATTTCTAAATAACTTTAATAAAGTCCTACTACAGGCAGAAGAATATAGCTAGTTAGATAAGTAAAAGAAGACTATACTAGATACTATTATAAACTAGAGACTTATTAAGAGACTAGTTAGGATTTCCTAAGAGCCTATATATAAAGACTACTATAATCAACTATACTATATAAATTATAATCTAAATAGAGTATCCTTTCTATCTAAAGAAAGTTATACTAAGACTATACCAGTATACTAAAAACTAAGTTCTAAACTAATAGAGTAGGAATCTACTCAGGTAGCTGCTATATAGTAAGAAAAACATAATTACTATATAACTAGTAATAGTTACTAGAAACAAGCCCAATAGGTAACACCTAGTAAAATATAAAAAAGATATAAAGTAGAGTACTGTCTTTAATATAGATAGAAAGATACCTTATCTATTAATATTCTTTTAAGTCTACTATATAATTAACTAGTATAGCTACTATTATATCTATACTTTATAAATAAGAATAATAATATATCTCAGATAAGAACTTAGACTTAGGAAAAGAGAATATCTAGTATAAAGTTATATATCTAAATAAGAATCACTAGATAGAACTAGAAAGAATTAGAAAAGTTTTAAAAAAAATATATAATTATATACTTCTTTTTGATAGAAGTAATTCTAGATCTTATAGTAACTACTTATATACTAATTAACTTAGGGTATCTAATCTATAGTATTATAAGTAAAATATTTACCTAAGTAAATAATCTATTAATTACTAGTATTACCCCAAGACTGATATAAGAGATCTCTAGTAATAAAGTACTAATCTACTCTATTATATAAGTAAGAATAGATATTAGATCTTATATAGAGAAGGGAGTATACTTTTATATAATATCTAATAATCTTAGATATAATTTAATTCTAAGAAAAAGCTAGCTATCCCACTATAATAGAGTCTTAGAATTAGAATAAGAAAAACTATTCCTATATATAATAAGAATAAGATTAAGAGATCTACTATATCTATAGTATATAAAGCTAAGAGTCTAGCTAATTACTAAAATAAGACTTAGAAGCTACTTATAAAAAAGATTTAAAAAAAATATAGAAGTATTTATAGTCTTACTAGTAGATATCTAGAAAATACTTTAAGTTAAGAAAATAATTAATTCTTATATAATACTTTTAGAATATTATAAAGTCTTCTTATCTCTCTTTTAGCTAGAGAATATAGAGAAACTATCTCTATATAGAAAAAAGGGTATTAACTATAAGATTAAGCTTATATAATAGAATAGAAAGAAACTAGAGGTACTATAGAATCTTCTCTATAATATATTTTAAGAAGAGTTAATAGTTCTATAGTCTAAATTAACTAAACTACTAGAAAAGAACTTTATATAGATTAGCTACTTACTAGCAGCAGCCCCAGTACTATTTATATAGAAACCAGAAGGAGGACTGAGGTTTTGTATAGACTACTAAATACTTAATATAATTACTAAGAAGAACTACTATCTACTATCTCTAATCTATAAAATACTAAACCAAATTAGAAAGATAAAATAGTTTACTAAACTAAATATATTATCTATTTTTTATAAAATCTATATTATAAAGGGTTAAGAATAGATAATAGTCTTTTATATAAGATATAGATTATATAAATAGCTAATAACCCCCTTTAGACTAGTAAATATACTAAGTATCTTTCAGAAATATATTAACTAAGTACTATATAAATATCTTAATAAGTTTTACTTAGCTTATATCAATAATATACTAATTTATATAAATAGAGATATTAAGAAGTACTATAAGTATATATAGAAAATTCTATAAAAACTAAAGAAAATAGAACTATTCCTTAATATTAAGAAATACAAGTTTAAATAGAAGAAAACCCTTTATCTTAGATTTATTATATAAGTAGAAGAAGAGATTAAGATAGACTCTAAAAAAATTAAAGTAATTACTTCCTAGAAGAGCCTAAAGTTAGTTAAAGTAGTATAAAGTTTTCTAGAGTTTATAAACTTCTACTAGAAGTTTATTTCTAGATTTTTAATAATTATATAACCTCTTACTAATCTAATTAGAAAAGATTAACTATTTATCTGGACTTTAGAATATAAAATAAGTTTTTAGACTCTAAAAAGAAAATTTATAACTAGACTAGTCCTCTATTCTTTTAATCTAAAATATATAATAGTAGTAGAAATAGACTTATTAGACTATAATATAGAGAAAACTCTTTCTTAGATAGATAAGAAAAAAGATATATATTTCTATATCTACTTCTTAAAGTAAAACACCCCAGCTGAGTATAACTATAAGATATATAATAAGAAACTACTAGTAGTTATATAATATCTAGAAGCCTAGAATACTAAGCTATACTTAGTATCAGAGTTTATAGTAATAACTAACTATAAGAACCTAGAGTACTTCTTTAAGCTATATAAATTTACAGAGAGATATATATAATAGAGTCTAATTCTAAGTAGATTTAACTTTAAGCTGATTTACTAGAAAGAAATAGAAAATAAATAAGTAGATACTCTATTATATTAGAAATAGAATATACCCAGTAAATAAGATCCTAGAGTATTATTTTATATAATTCAGATCTTTAATAGAATACTAGAAGAAAATCTAAAACTTAGAATCTATCTACTTACTATAGTCCTAGTATAGCTATAAGAGTATAGAATAGAGTTGAATAGAGACTCTTTAGAATAGATATTATAAATTAAAACAGGGATACTAGAGCCAGAGAATAAATCTAAAAGTAGTTAAAATTATACTCTAATAGTAGA